TATAATTGATTTCAGAGAGGAAAGGAGAGAGAGAGAGAGATACATCAATGATGAGAGAGAATCATTGATCGGCTGCCTCCTGCATTCCCCACATTGGGGATTGAGCCCAAAACCAACCGGAAATCAAACCGTGACCTCCTGGTACATAGGTCAATGCTCAACCATTGAGCCATACCAGCTGGACAGGTTAACTTTATTTTTAAAGAAGGTTATTAAAGAGGAATCAGGACCAGGATGTGTGGAATGTAAACCATTTGCTTCTAAGTGTCTTTGGTTAGGGGAGATAAAACCTTGTTACTCATTAACTGGCTGTAAATTGCTCAAATTGTTTGGCCTTATATGCCCTGGCCAGTGTGGCTCAGCTGGTTGGAGCATTGTTCTGTACACCAAAAGGTGGAGGGTTTGATTCTCAGTCAGGGCTCATACCCAGGTTGTGGGTTTGATCCCCACTAGGGAAGTGTATGGGAGGCAATCTATGTTTCTCTCTTACTTCAATGTCTCTCTTTCCTCTTAAAAAAAAAAATCAAGAATGTCATTAAACGGGGACTAAAACCAAGGCCTGTCTGGCCTGGGATGGTCTGGAATGGTTCTTGTGATGTACACAATCCTTCTGCGACTTTCCTAGTTCCTTTTAGTTGGAGTTAGAAATAACTATCTTTTTTCTATTTCCTTACAAACATATTGCCATAACCTACACCTTTAATTACCAAAGCCATATAGTTTTTTTCTAACTTCACTAGAATTCTTAATTCTTAGATACCTTAATTTTTAGTAACAACAAAAAGTAATTAGTATTTTTAGATTGGCAAATTTATGAATACATTTCATAACTCTTAGAAACAGGATTTTTGTTTTTTGCATTGGCAAATACTTATTTTTAAGAGGTATGAGAGATAACATGAACTTTTTCGGTAAACCCAGTCAAAACAAACATGTTTTATGCTAATAACTTTAAAAGATATTAACTTAAATGACCTATTTGGATTCTTAGTGATTACTGCATTTTAGTGGGCTCAAAAGTGAGCTATTTCATTGCCTAGTGTCCTTGATGCCTTTTACAAGGCTGAAGAGGCGGGGGAGATACCAGGCTTGAG